ATCTTGCTACTGTGGATACCAGTGAAATAGTTGAAGGCCTGTTGATGCTAAATAACTTGACCATCACCTTTAACAACAGAAATATCATTACAAGTATGCATTGCTAGAGACCTTTCAATTGATATTTTCTCAAGGACATGCATTCTCAAAGACATTTCAAGTTGGTATTTTGGATACCAATGGACTAGTTAAACACCTGTTTTGTTAAAAAAAGTTTTTTCTTTACATTTTGAACTATATATTTTATAGTAATGTTCAACTATGTTGAAAGCACATTTGTAATTGTTTATGACTATTTGATTCTTTAATAAAATTGTTGAGTTTGTTAATTTCTTGTATTTAAATAATTAGTACTTGCACTTTTAGTTCAAGCAGACATTTACATAGTTTTACTGTATTTTAAAAATTAAAAGAAAAATAACAAATATAGAAATAATCTTTCCATAAACTATTGACTTTGGATAAAAGTTTTTTTTTTTTGAATAGTCTGATCATCACATTCAACAATTTCTTGATATTTACCCCTATATTTTTTCATTTTAGTAAATACATGGGGGGAGGGTACTCCCCTATATTTGATATATGGCTATGTGCTGCAGAATAGGGTCCATTTGTTTTGGCTGTGATCGTACCTGCTAGGCCAGACTTTCAGCACTAAAATAATGTACCTTTTCACCTTAAGTCTAGGGTAGGGTATGCAAAATAAAAAAAAATGGTCTAGGATAGGGTAAGGGTTTGACAGTTGTGCAGCACCCCTCCCCCCCCCCAAAATTGGGGACGTAGGACCCCCCAGAAGTAAATAGCCCTACTTGATGCCTATAATGTTAATGACATCAATATATATTGCTCAAGTATTTTTTTATAACTACATTTATTCAAATTTTATTCATACATCTTCAGCTAGTTAAGGTTGATTTACACGGCATGATTGTCTCGTGCAATTTGTAGTATACGACTTGAATCGCGCATTGTAAATGCCCCTACGACTTGTCTACAACAGTCGTACGCAACCTACGACTTGTAGTAGGAATTTAAACCACTGCTTAAAATCCTACAACTTGTAGTAGGAAAATTGTATACTACAAGTCGCGCGCGACAAATCGTACCATGTAAATCAGCCTTTACAATTAACTACAGTTTTGCTAAACAATTATCTTGATTAAGTTTAAAACTAGCCCAATTTTACACTTATAACAATAGTATCTCACTTTGTATTT